AAAAAAACCTATTTAATTAATCTTAAATCTAATAATTTAATAAATAACTATTATTTTAAAATTTATTTTTTATCTAAACAATTAAAATTAAAAGTACATTTAATTAATATTTTAAATCTAAAAATAAATTAATTTTAATTGAGTGATCCTAATCAAATTCAAATAATTTCAGTCTTTAATCATATCGTGTTTCCAGTCATAACATTATACGCAAAATCCAATCCAAGTTGAGTTGCACCTAATTTTCGGATTGTATTAGCCATCTATCTATTATATCCCCATTTCAGATCAAGCTTTTGATACGCTTCCAAAGAGAAGACAAAATGGTGTAGATTTGCATACAGAAACCATCATGTTTCTCCTACCATGCTATTTCACGTGCCTATGGGCGCGTCAATGGGAAACTTTTCCAGATACGAGCATGTTGTCCCCCATTGCAACGAACATAGGTTTAATATAACCCACCAAAGTTGGGTGGGGAAGAAAAGAAAACCAGATATTACATCTTGAGAAATAATGGGCAAGCCTTTAAAAGCAATGCACACCAACCCCAAGGATTATTATTCAACCAATCTATCAATCATATTTACACCTCGAAGGTTGCTTTCCTTTCACCGTAGTAGTCATTTAACCAGCCTTCAATCAGCTTGATCTCAGTTGCCCTCTGTTCCATTAACCAGTCAGGATCCTCCGGGGTTGCAGCTCGCAAATCTATGTGATGGGCACCTGTGACAGTTCAAAAGTAAAAAAATGTTTTAGCTTACAAATCTCTGGAGCAGCTAACCATCTATGCCATTCATCTGTATTAGAGTTTAAAGAGATCTTTCATTGTCAAAGATGACAGCTCAATAGCTAAATCAATGAGAGAGGTTGCTTTGCATAAGTATCAATGAGATAGATGATTAATGGGAACTTATGCTCCAGGCAGAAATAGTGATCAATTGAGCAATCATCAATCATGTCAACAATAAGATGATGAAGCAACAGAGGACTTCATAAAACATTACCTTCTTCTGTAACAAGAGCCACAATAGTTTGTGATATATTCTTCAGAACACTGCAACAAACAACATCAAATTCGTAAGAAACCAATTGATGATAACTTATGTGCCAACTGACACTAAATAGGTGCAGCAAGGTCACCTGCCACCACTCCATGGATCCAATAGACCATTTGAGAATATGATATTACTTCCAAAGAGTTTCAATTTATTCTTGATATCCTTCACAAAAAAAGTAAAAAGAATAAAATCAAATTATAGCAATGGAATTAAATATACTTCATTTTCACATTGAACCAATATGTCATTTCCCCAGTTGAATGAATTATGCCAGAGAGATAAAAAAAACTTTGAATCTATATTTTACATAAGAAGCAACTTGAGAACCTCATAAACCCTTAGAGAAACCAACAAATGCGAGATTATATTAGCTTCTAGTATTACATAAACCTTGCATGTATCTTCTTTTTTGGGTTCTTGTCATGCCCAAACTGAAAAGGAAAATAATCAACTTCAAATGCATGAACTTTTACTAACTTTATCTTTTAAAAAAGATCTGTGGAGTGTTAATATTGCTTACATGTAATTTGTGCTATGATGCAAGATACTATACAAAAATGAACTTAACAATAACTGCTTATCCATTTATGTAGTTGAAATTGAAAAACAATTAGGATATATAAAAAGGAAGGTGGATTAGGGAATGTAGATATAGGGCAGTGTAATTCTCACAATCCAGAGACAGATATCAACCAGCCATTCAGGGGTTAGGGGAAAAAATGAACTTATCATTCTTTCTCATTCTTCTAGCTAAAGATTGCAAACGTTGTTAAGCAAAGCCAGATAGAAAGAACTAACAACTTGTTGTATGTCTTACATGTCCTCCAAATTCTGTTGTTATCCATCTCGGCCTTGGTATCACCTGGAAGTCCTTCCAGCATTCCTCTTGATAAGAAGAGTAATTAAAGTCATAGGCAGGATACATGCTATTGTCTAGATCACTTGCCATTGGCATAACCATCTCAGTGCATGCCTATAGAATTGAAAGGAAAGAAAAGGAATAATCAAGATCAACATGATGCTTCCTGGCAACTTTTCTGTAGTATTGTTTGGAAGGAAAATGAAAAAGAAGCATAATGACATTTCCAAACCTGCCAATCCCAACCACTCATCCCATGAGGATCATCATCAAGTTCAAAGCAACTAGCATCTCCACTATAATTGTAATAGATGCTTACACCATTGAATATGCGCTCCAGAGTGCTAGACCCATCAGGAGAATCATCAATCATTCTGCAAACCTACAATATTGGCAGCCACAATAACAAGAAAGAACAATATGACACCATATAAGAACATACTTCTCATAAGTTTAAATTCCTAAACAAGGTACCTAGCATCCTAAGACACAGGGCATAAAGGTAAAACTTTGTAAAAGGTGGGTGGAAAATAGTAGACTCGGAAGTAGGTTTCTTAACATAGAGTTTGAAATTCATCATAGTTGATTTGTCTTACAGCTTTTACACATGCCATAGTATATCTTTCAAGTTGTCTTCTTCCAAACTAACCTCTCTTATTGGATGTCCAGGGAGTGGCATTAAAAATTCTGAAGGATATGGGTAATTGACCATTGCTAAATAACTATAGGCAGCATCCAACCAATTTGTGAGGTCACCTGTGCTCTTTAATTCCCTGTGAATGATACATAGTTAGATCAAACCAAATAGGTTCACAGATACGTGAATCAGAGGATGATAGAATGTCTGTCAAATTACATCACTAACTATATACACATCCTTCATATACCATCTGTCTCCCTTACCCACACAAGTGGAAAGTTTTGGCTAGTTGGTCAAGACCGCCCGCTTTCAGACCCTCAGATTTTAATAAACTCCATGACTCTTTTATGGTGTTAAAGCAGCTGGTACTCTCACGCTATAGACAAAAAAGAGAGAAAATCATAAAACAGAATATACTATAAAAAAAAAATGCTAATTGAGCTAAAATTAACTGATAACAGTGGAACAGACCCTGAATGCATTGGATACAATGTTATAAAAGGTTTCTGGTGGAATAATATCTTCAAACTGAAGAATAGGGGCCGAAGAAGCAAGTGCCCCAATTGCAATATGAGGATACTTGAGCCTCATCCACGCTGCTAGCACTGTTCCATCAATAGCACACATATAATCATAACCCAATTTTGCTGCTCAAATATATATATATATATATATAATCATAACCCAAAAAAGCCACTAATCAAACTCCACTTATACAACCACACACCCAAATATATATATCCAAAGAACATTGCAAACTTGAAAACAAGATAATTTGATATAGTCTAAACTAATGAGAGCCATAGGCTTAACATAATTTCAGAAAATTAAAGAGAGATACAAACTGAGGGCTTACTTCCTCCATAGGATCCGCCAAACAAGACAACAGGGCATGCCTCCGCAGACAAATTCCTTTTCAAGTCAGTAATCAACACAGCAAAATCTGCAAGCGCCTGCTCTGTTGTAAGATAAGACAACGTAGAAGCATTCTTGTACGCCTCTCCTCTACTTCCAAACGGCATCGACTCCCCGTAGTACCGATGCTGCAAATTATATCATAAGTGTTAACACTTGCAAATACGGTTTAAAATTGATCAAAATGGTGAAGAAATTTGAGTTACCTCCGGGAAAAGAACCATGGCATTAAAGCGAGGAGCGACGTCCCAGACGAAGCCGGTGTTTGCGGCGAACCATTCTATGTCGCCTTCGTTGCCACAGTAAAGGAAGATGGGACCAAGCCGGCCGGGACCTGCCCAGTGCTCGGTGTTGATCAGGTACCGTTGCGGAAACCTTGGGACCTCCGAGAAACTGAAGTGATCCAGTCTCTGCGAGAAAAACCGGATCTCGTATCGGTATTGCTGCTGGATTCTGGTTCGGTGTGAGAATTTGCCGAGGAAACGCGGTGGCTGCCGAGAGAAATCGGACGGCCATGACGCGAGTGACGGTAAAGAGGAAGCAGAGATGACGGTGATGACGATGAATAGGAGAAAGAGAGAAGAAGTTTCCGCTGCCATTTTTTCCGACAGAGTAAGAGTGAAGACGTCTTATCTTAAACTAAACCGTGTTGGTAAATCGGTTGCTTGCCTTTTTTTATTTGCTAAATGCCGATTTTTATTCCCAACTTTTTGATTTTTGAAATTTTTAGTTTTTAAACAATTTTCTTTTGCAGTTTTCTTTTTAAATAACTTAAAATACACTCTTTTTTTAATCCATTTATCAATTAATTGGTAAATTTGGTTACTTTTTATATAAGGATAATTTTATTTCCTTAAACATTCTATGGGAGAGGGGGAAAGTCATCTAAACTTGAGATATTTAAACTATTTAATTTAAAAATGTGGACCTTTTATTTCCTTAACTTACAAATTCAAAAACTAAAGATATGTATATAAGTTTAGAAACAAAAAAAATATATATACATATATACAAAATGTTAGTATTTGTATGTTTTATCTTCTAAAAATTATAAAAAAAAATTATTTTAAAATTAGGTTATTTCAATAAAGCATCAGAAAAAATAACAAAAAAAACATCTTAATTCATACTTTAAAAATATGATATTTAATTTTTTTCAATAAATATTTATTAAAATAATGTAATTTTGAAATAATATTTTTTCTATCTTTTAAAAAAAAACGGATAAATATTATTTTTTATATAAATAATTTATGAATTAACTAATGAAAAAAAATTTATGTTTAATAATTTAAGAACTAAAAAAATATAAAAAAATGGTTCAAAAACTAAAAATATTCGAAGTTGAAAGTTTCGGGGACTATATAATTCGGCATTTAACCCTTTGAAAAGTTTCCAATTAATTTGGCAACTTTGATAGCTCCGAAATCACAGCAAGAAACTTGGGCTTTGTTTGACCATTGGTAATTTATGCAAGTTTGCATATTGGGCTTTAAAAGAAATGGATCCGAAAGAATATAGGGGGGACACTTCTTTGTAATGTCTATTAACAATATCTCAAGTTTGGGCATAATGGTTAATGGATCCAGAACTAGGCTCAGCCCAAGGTGCTAATGCTTGTAGGGCTCGGGCTATTAAATTCAGTTGAAATGGGTGCGCCTTATTGGTCACTTGGGTCTAGAGAATAATTTGCATTGAAATGTGTATAAATTAATTTAGAGGCATCTTGACTATTAAAATATACGTATTGAGGAATCCATTTACATATAGCATAAAAGTTGATTATTCCTTCTTCACCAAAATGGGCAGAATAACATATTTAGAAGTTTGAAACTTGTAAAATGATTATTGTGGTTTGCTTTATTAAAATTAAAATAATGCATGAAAAAATAAAAATGGGGAAGGGAAGATATAAAGTCCATCCATAGATAATGGTGGGGAAAAGAGAGAGTTAGGGAGGTGGATTTGATGTTGTGTAGGGTGGACAAGAAACAAAAAGAATGCGAATATACATCATTTATGCGCAGGAGTATTTTTAAACCCTTGGAAGTGAGCAAAATGAAAAATGCTTTATTCCATTCGAATCGAATATTAACATCATTCTTCAATCAGATGAGGTATCAGCATCTCTAAACAAGTTGCGATTTTTCAACCTAATAAAGTCACAGACATGATTATAGTATATATGACTCAATTATATGCCAACGTACGACCTTAAAATTTGAAATAAAATTTGAGAAAAAAAAAAATACAAACTAGGGACCATAGCACCAAATTCACGTAATTTGGTGTTAAAAGCAAGAAAAGTAAGAAATCTCATATAGAATTTTTTTCTATGTATATAAGAAAAAGAAAATCTCATATCGATTAATTAGATATTCATAATTGATGAGGATGGAGCATGCTTTCTAGAATACTTGTTGCGTGCCGCCCCATGCTTTTTAAAGTTCATGGTTCATAGTCATACGACGCAAGAAGGCACAAAACATTGCTCTTTGCATATACAGAAAATCAAGAAAGTGAAAGAAAATTCTGCAACCCAAAATTTCATCATGGCTAAGATCACCGAACTTCATTTGTTGTTTATCCATTAATATTTCCAAACAACCATGTTTATCTAATAATGATTTGTCTTTATTTTTATTATGAAGTTTTGTCTTCATTTTGATAAATGGTAGTAGTAATTTTCAAAATTATAAGAGTTGTAACGGATTAGATTACAATTACGTGGGGATATAACACATAAATGTATAAGCACATCTCTATGATAATCAGTTTATGAGACGTGTAGATTGAACCATGGTCTCCACCACGGTCAATTGGTGCGTGCAGTTGAGCCTGTGCACTCTAACCAGGGCAGCTAAGGCTGCAACCCAAAAGCGCATTTGGGATGGAAGTTTCCCTTATCAGTTGGACATGTCCATATATGGTCCCATGGCTGAATCAGATGAGAGTAGAGATTTTAGTATTGATCATCAGTACTACATTTCCTCAACCACATTTTCCTCTTCTAGATGGTTCATATTGCGGTACATGTGGAAAGTGACATTACAGGCTCAGCAGGTCCCTCCGGCGGCTAGATTAAAAGATACCCTATATATATATATATAAGAAAATATTTATAAATTGCAAATATATAGTTCTTAATGTATAAATAAATATATAAAAACTGCATCCCATGATCATTGAATAAATATTAATTTGTCCCAAAAGATGGCTAATAATTTGACTCAAAATGTGAAAATATGAGCCACATCGGGCTTGTTTATTAGTAAAAGTTATTTTAAAAGACTAATTTATAAATATCTATCATTCTAAATTTAAATCCTTAATCTGATAATTTCACATTAAGATTACCCTAAGGTGTGATATGTATAGAGTCACTATGGGGCTGTGTTATGTATAAGAAAGGATGGGCCAAGGGCCCCTATTGCCTTGTAATGTGCCACAATGCTGCCGGCAATACCTTAACTGTTATTTAATGGTCCCCCTAACCAACATCTGAAATTTAATTAGGTAATGTTAGTAGTATGTTACATCCCAATTTCCTCCCCCCACCCCCCACCCTCCAAGGGATCTCAATTTTTTCTTTCTAGATAAGTGCTTGTGTTTAAAATCATTAGCTATGAATTTCATGTTTTTCAAAAAAAAAAAAAAAATCAATGGCTATTGAATAATTCAAACATGATTTTTTTTTTTTTTCTATCTAAAAAATAAAAGGTATGGCGATTAGTGAGTATTCTAGTTTGTGTCATGCTGTCCATCTGTCACTTAAGATGTTATCAGCACTTGGCCTCTTGAGCCATTTGTAAAGGGCAGAAGGATTGGGTCCAACACCTCCTCCCAATTAACATGTCATCATCACTTAACTAAAAACTTCTAACCACTTCATGGGTCCCTGCTCCTAATTGAATCAAATTTCCGCCACCACATCTAGATCGTCAATCATTCAAAAAGGGGAAAAAAATTCATTCAAAAAAGTAAAAAGGGGATATTTTGTATAATTAAGACCTTAATTATCATCAATTAAGTAAGGACCTTAATTTTCCTCAAATCAAACACAACCTAAAGGCGCACCCGCAGCAAGGACTGCAATCCGTGGGTGAATCTTAGACCACAGAGCTGTCCACAATTCAAATTTGAAAAATAAAAAATAAAAGACTATGACCAAGTAGCATATGATTTATTTATACATAATTTTTACATATATTATTTATATAAAATCTTAATTATTTATCTTTTTATAATCAATAATAATAAATCTCAACTATTCAAATTTAAAAAAAATCAAAATTTTATATAAATAATGTACAAATAAATAAATTTTTTTATATATAGAGATTAATAATATATTTGAGCTTATAGAAATAAAAAAATAATTAATTAAATATAATGTTTTTAAAATGTTATAATTTAATTAATCAAAAAAAATTTCTTTCTCCTCTTTTTTTATTTTCCTTAATCTAAATATATAACAAGAATTAAATTTTAAATCTATAATTAAATATATAAATAATTTTATTATTAGATGACATCACTAATAATATAAAAATTATGTATAAAACAATTCTAACTCCAATAAAACTTCCATTGCCTATTTTCAAAATAACTCCATTAAAACCATACGAAATTCAGAAATTCTACACTCCATCATTGCCAGCTTCTCCCATGCTCCACCATGAATAATCAAAAAGTTTGTCAGTTTTGTGTTCTCATAATAATACAAGATAAGAAATAATAATTAAAAAATAATTATGATATTTTTAAAATATCATAATTATAAATTAAAAAATAATTTTTATTTTATAATTTAAAATAAATTAATAAAAAAATTAAATACATATTATTTATAATTAAAATAAAAATTAATTTTATTATTTTTAAAATAAAAAACAATAATTATTAACCAATAACTCCGATGGGATATCATACCAAATCACTCGGCTAAAAAAAAAAAAAAAATCATAACAAATCATTGGTGGCCCCTACCTGTCTCTCTTCCCTCCACTTGTCCATTATTTTATCACAAAAAAATTAAAAACCGATGACATGAGAACCATCCAAGTACCATTACTACTATGCCGTCACTTCTCACTAGGTGTCGGTGTATGGATGAGATTTAGACTAATAAATTAAGTATTAGTTTAATCAATTCGTAATTTATTCGTAGTAATCTAATCCTTTTCATAAAGTGAAAGTTGGGACGGAACAACAAATTTTTTTTAGTATTTTATGTATTTATTTATTCTTTGCGATGAGAATATTTGTTGGATGATTTGTGGACTGTGTCAAAGTCAAATTGTTATCTATTACCTCCCCAAAGACAAATCTGATGGCTAATGTCATTGCCTCTTTTTGTATTTAGCCATTCCCATACAAGACCTTTGGATAATCCTATTATTTTATTTATTTCCCATTAGACCTAATTGCTCTATAAAATTG